AGCTGATAAAATCATTAACGATTATTAGCCATAATCTTTAATGCTTTAAGAATTGTATAATATATAAAAGAATAAATAAAAACATGTACTTTCTTAAGATATCCTGTCTGAACGCTTCAGTTATAAAATATACTATTCGTTATTCTTAAAATAGTAACTCTAAATTTTAATAGAAATATCACATCTGCATTTCACGCAGAAATATATTAAATTTAGCCGGTCGACATTTTATATAGATTAATGAACACACATATTGACTCGATAGTCTTAGATCAACGTTAAGATAATTCTCGAATCTGTTTTTCTGATCAATTAGACAAATCTCATTTTATATACAAACGAAGAAAGGCATCGTTACGTCTCGCAGAGCCAATCGCAAGGCAGTTTCGGCATTTTATTCGCCGGCCACGGAAGATAGCCCGCAGTTTTGAAGACCCAATAATCGTAAGACACTTTAGCAATCAGACTTATGAGTAATATAACTTCAGTGGCAATGATGTAGTAAATATAATCTGTCCAGTCACCGGGATAGACGCACATCTTGGACGGTTCCAAATCGACTACCTTTTCCTTTACATTTTCGCACAATACTTCGTCTGAATCCAATATACGAGTTTGCAGCCACACCTGCCGATAATTCATTCATTAGAACATTCGATGCCGACGTGTGCCGCAGCTGTGTACACACCTTCAGATATTTAGCAGTATTGCAATCGCAATGCAATTCATTTCCCCCGAGTTTTACCAATCGCGAGCTGATGATACTTTTGTCATGAGCGTTTAGACTTAAAATATATGTTGGAAGCTGAAAGCATATTACTTTGTAGGAACGACCGTGTATATGTATGTACGTTATCTAAAATTCCGTCGAGTTTACTTACAGATTTAATTTTATTGTACCGTAAACTAAGCAAGGCGTAATTATCTAAAAACTTGGAGCCTTCCAATTTATTTATGGACGATATGTTATTGTAGTCGGCATAGAATTCTCTTATGTCTTCGTACCATGGGTTGGTACTGAGATCATCTAACGCAGTGATCTGTGTAATAATAATTACTCATCGATTGCTCCGTAAACTTCCATTATTAATGAATTTACATACGTTGTTGTACGATACGTTCAGCGCTATTGTATTGCGAGGCAATTTTTCAGGCAATTCAGTGATTTGTATTGCGCTACAATCTACGTTTACGGCCAGAGTTGGTGGTTTACCTTCGACGATATCCAATCTTCTGAAGTTACATTGACACTGCCAAGTATCTCCCTTGGGACATTCAGTTTGTAACTGGAAATTCATGAAACGTTCATACTGGCAATTAATTATGCATACGGAATTCTGATAAAAAAAAAAATTAAAATTCTCTTTGAATCATTACCAAACTGAGATATCTGACTTGTTTCAACGGAACTTGTTCCGTAGTATTAAACCAATGCCAAGTTTTACTAGCCGAGCATACAGTTTCATTCTCGCGATTAAAATAAATTTGCTTATCCCCAGTCTTATTAATGTATTGATAAATGTCATGACACCAAAGTGTATTGGTTCCTAAAAGATAATACTGTATTCTAACGAATTTACATTGGTATTGGATGAGGGATAATCATTCGTGTAGACTTGCCTGATATATCAAGCCAAAATTCACGACCATTAATGGTGTTTAAAGCTGGCAAATGTGTTAGATTATTATAAGACAAGTCCAGAGCAGTGAGATGAGCCAATCTGGTGAGAGACTTATTTTCTACCTCCATGAGAGCATTATTCGAAAGGTTCAAGCACACAGTCGGTGTCATCATTAAAAACTGTCCCTTAACTTTATTAATCCTGCCGTCAGTAATTGCGAGAGATTTCAACCTTCTCCACCTTATCTCGCTTACATTGAACACATCTAATGTCGCGTTTCTTATGTGTATATAAGAAATATTTGATGGAAATCCTATGATCATAAAAATCTTTTCATGTAGTTCCCCATTGAATATCAATACATCAAATCAAGTTTATACCTGTGCAAGAAAGTTCTGTTTTAAGGTTTTGACCATCTAAATTGCAACAGAGTACAGCATTGCCTTCAGGATCGTTGTGGGCTAGAACAATCTTCTTGCAGGAGCATCCAGTCCCTTCGGGACATTCACTGGCTGGCCGATAGAAACATTGCTCTAGAAGGCCGCCAGTTTCACTGATAGAAGTCGAAGATGCTTGTTGATCTTCTTCAGTCCTGGCACTCGCTACTCCGGCATACAAGCACATCATTATAGCAAACCACTGCATCTGGAAATCGATTTAAAAAGACAGATCTAACAGATTTTTTTAACGCGTTACCGTATTCCTTATTGCGAAACCATTTTAATATCATTCTGATTTTTTATTCAGTATGTAAATTACCTTCATTTTACACGGTTTTACGATTGAAAAATTGTTATATTCCGAGGAAATATTCGAATCTGATCGGCTTTGATATTGCGCATATTTTGCATGCAAGTAATGTAGATAACTCACGGATAGGAATGGTCGCAATTGACAGTAAACAGAAATTTGTTCCACCGGCCGAGGAATCGCGCACATTGCGCGCATTCGCACTAAAAACTGGTGGCTAAATTAATTCGTTTAAGAGTGGCCGACACTTTAGGTCATACGGGTCGACCTATTAACGAATCCAAATTGGTTAGCTAGCGGCAGAAGCCGTCGGTTATTACACCCGCGATGGCCCTGTGCAAACGATAAATCACTCTCATCACCGGAATTAAACGTTCAGATTCTCAACTTTCTCTCTCAATTCCTACACGCACATTTCCTTTTATTCGTTGCATTCGCAAATAATAACTTTGTCACGTATAGTTATATACCACGTAAATATAATTTATTATTATTTATGATACATGATACAAATACTGAATACAAATCTTGATATGCTAATCGATTTATTGACAAAGTTATTAAAAAATGTCTTACCGGTGTGCGGGTCGCTTATTAATTATAATCTAATCAGCACATCAGTTATTAAATAATAAACAATAATCATTGCTTTATATACAAAGTATACGATATATAAACAACCATAACCACGGTGTAAACAAGATTATCTATTTTCAATCTGGACATCGTGCCAATTAGTCATCTCTACATATTTTTATTAGCATAAAACGATGATTACTCATGATTACTCGTCATCATTATTATTATTATTATGATGATTACTTTTTCATTTGATGGATCTTTTCTCTGTGTTGAGTCAACCCTCTTGGTATCAAGTAATCCTTGCATACACAAATATTGCTGTTTGTCAGTGTTTTAAGATGGCTGACTTGAACGAAAAGTTATTAGCAGAACTCTTGAAAAAACCTGGAAATAACGTATGCGCGGACTGTGGGGCAAAAAGTGAGTCGGTTTTCCTAGTAAACGTTTATCAAATCATCATATTGTAGAAAGTAATATAATGTAAGGGCCGCTGAGAACAGTTTATTTCGTTGTATCGTACGTCGGTCAGCGACCGGATTTCAAACTTTGTTGTCACGATATCGTTTACAATAAAGTACAAAACGATTAAACTAAAAATCCGATGCCAAGAAGGAAGAACAATTCTTGTTTCACTCAATCTTACTATAATGAAACAGCTTGCATGTTCATTCTTCTGGTTTTTGTCAATCGATGTTTATGAACAAACAATCTCTATTTTATAGCATAATAACAATAACATTTATAACACTGATCGTTTAGTACGTTGTACTTCAAAGTTTAGGTTTGCACAAGGAACTTCAGTACTTAATACGACGCTTGTCAATCTGTGATACAAGTGGAAACAGATTTTACATGCCTAGAGTCATTCTATTTTAAAGTTATTAGTAATTTGTATTATCTTTAATGTTCATTGGCATTGAATTACAGATCCAGAATGGGCTTCTTATAACATCGGAATATTTGTGTGCACGAGGTGTGCAGGTATACACAGATCGATGGGCGCGCATATATCCAAAGTCAAACACTTGAAGCTAGATAGATGGGAGGACTCCCAAGTGAACAGAATCAGAGAAGTGGGCAATGTAACAGCGAGGCTTCGTTACGAAGAGCGTGTACCTCCCTGCTACCGGAAGCCAAGCCCAGATACTCCACAGTAGGTCGTCGTACAAGTATTTAAATCGACGTACAAGTATTTAAAAAGTACATTCTTCCACACAGAGTGTTGGTGGAGCAGTGGATTCGCGCAAAATACGAAAGAGAAGAGTTTTGTCATCCGGAAAGACAGAATCACTACGTCTCAGGATTTATGGAAGGATTCCTGATGAAACGTGGCAAAGAAGATTCGCGTTATCATCCTCGGAAGTTTGTTCTTTGCGAGGCGGAGGATACTCTCAAGTATCACGTCAAAGAAAATAAGGTGCGCGTTATTTACGTTAATTCTCGTTACTTATGGTTTTCATTCGTGTTTTTATATTTACAGGAACCGAAAGCTGTTCTTAGAATATCCGAGTTGAACGTGGCTTTCGCTCCTCCGAAAATCGGCAATCAAAACAGCCTACAGATCTCGTTTATGAAGGACGGGACGACCAGACATATCTACGTGTATCACGAAGATTCGGAAGTGATTACGAATTGGTATTTGGCGATACGGTGCGCCAAGCTACATCGCCTCCAGGTCGCGTATCCGGGGGCGACCGAGGCGGAATTACTTTCTCAGCTTACACGGGACTTTCCTCGGGAAGGATTCCTGTGGAAAACCGGACCAAGGCACACAGACGCCTATAAGAAGAGGTGGTTCACGTTGGATGGTCGAAAATTAATGTACCACGATGATCCCATGGTGTGTACTCTCGCTTAATAGACATCGATATCACTGTTACAATATTTACTAAATGTATTTGTACCGTTTCCAAGGATGCACATCCGAAAGGTGAAATCTTCTTGGGTCATAGTTCGGATGGTTTTGCAGTGAGACCGGGAGTGCCGTTAGGTGCGAGAGATCAAGGCTTTTCGTTCACTCTCGAAACACCGGAGAGGACCTATCTTCTTTCTGCTCAAAGCGAAGACGACAGAACGCAGTGGATGAACGTGATTCAAAAGGTGATAGAGAAGCCACTTACCCCGCAAGACACGAACGGTGAGTAGAAACAAAAGTACGAACGATGATGAAAAGTAGACAACAGTTTTCTAACGAACGCGATTTACAGTGGCGGCACGTCTTATAAGAAAACGCACAGCTAGTGGAACAATGAATATATTTTCTTCTACAAGGTAGGGCTGGATCCCTCTTAGGTGCCTTTCCTAATTGTTAACAAAGTGAATATTAGGCGAATCAATTAAGCTGTTTTATTGAGAGAGTGTCGAGGGGTAGGTCGATAGATGCTATGGTCAATGCAAAACTCTTCGGAATCGCACAACACCGTCGGCTCGCGGATGATACATATTTATTCGTAAATGAGAAAATACGTTATATCTTATACGTATATATAGCGTTATGAAGAAATACTTTTAATTAAACAAGGCAATTCTCAGCGTTCTAATATGATTATTGCCAAAAAAAGAGATAGGAAGATTAATATAAGTAGCAAATTGAAACGAACCAAATATAAGGAATTAAGTGGTTTCTTCTGATGATATAATACAAAGTGAACGTAACTGTAACGTAACGTCGATATGCTCTTTGATGATACTTTAAATGCTTTTTGCTCGCTGTCAAACTGACTTGATAGTATTATATACCATATTCTGAGCAATCGTCAAATTTTGTTTCGTTCGTTCGTTCGTTCGTTCGTTCGTTCGTTCGTTCGTTCGTTCGTTCGTTCGTTAATAAGAATTTATGAAATTGTAACGGAGCGTGTAGTATTCTTTTCGGGGACTTTAGAGAAGACATTACGTAACGATGTAACGTGAGGAAAAGATAAACGAAGGTGGAATATTCAGTGGACGAATGAACGCCTTGAATTCCACTCGGATTCATTATTATTTCGCAGTATTCTCCTGTATCGTGATCGTCTACCAATTTAGATCTCTAAACTGAAAGTTAATTATTTTTTATAGAAGTAGTAAACTTCTACGGCCTATTAACTGCATCGTTTTGCATGGTTAGATTCAAACGAAAGTGATCGCACTCAGTCAGACACGTGATGGTATGTATATGTTGTATCGCTACGAATGTATGTATGTGTTATATCTGTTATAACTTTTATATGAACAATATTTATTACAGACGTGTACGTGAAATGTTTATCATTTTTCATTGCCTTAAACGTGAAACATGTTTTATCTTACAAAACAAACGAAAATACTTATATTTGTACAATGAACGAATTCTTTTGTAATATATAAGATACTGAGAAGACTGTGTTTAATGAAGAGACTAATACATTTTACATACGTACGTGCATCGTAAATATATATACATGTATATATACATTCATATACATACGAGCAAATTGAATGAAATAAAAATATTTTAATTATTTTAAAGATGAAAGGTACATTTTTATTGATTGCAGTCGTTAACTTTCAAATCAGCACTTTATTCGATTGTTGTTATACTCGGATACAGGCGTGCTTTTCAGATAGCAAAGAATGTTCACCCAGCAGAAAGCTGCGATACTGACGAACGAGACCCGGAACGCCGGTGGTATCAATAAGAAATTCAAAAATTGAACCGGCAACCAATACATACACGAAGTCTAAAGGAAGAGTTTCATATAAGATCCTGTTAAGTTCGAAGAAATGAATAACTGAATTACCTTGAAGGTCTGCACAAACTTTGCTTTGCACTCGTCGAACATGTTCGCTTTACCCTCCATCAGGCTCATACCTGAAAAATCAATGGCAGCGATACCAACATACAATGATCATATTGATTGTACACGAATGTCGGATACGAACTTATAAAGAAGATGGTAATCAACGGCGGCGTTAGGACGAATTGATCGACCAATAGTTTCGCGAGGACCGTCTTCATGGTCTTGCCTTTGTAGTATGCGTCCAACCATTTATACCTGACAGAAACATTGCTAAAAGTTATTGTCGATTCTCCGCGAGCGACGATAATAATTTGCAGGCAAGATCGTTCTATCACGATATCACGGTAATTCATGACAACGTAAGCATTAACAACGTACAAGCGAACGTTTGGCGAAGCAGAATAAGCTCACCGAAGGTGCCGATGAATGCAATCGTGCGATCGTCATCCAGTGGGTGGGCAGTTTATTTTGATGTCGATACATCTATAATACGTAGTAGTGGTAGGTGTCTAAGAGATCACCGAATATATTTTTAATATAACGATCGTTGTGTGCAATATATTTGAAATATATTTCCTTTGGGGATTCACAAGTATAAACACGATTCGTTTAGACACGATGCACAGGCGTCGTACAATCATAAAAGTGCTTTGACGTGGTGAGATATTATAAATGCATAATGTTAAAAGTGATAAGACAAAAATGGACGAAGATTGAAAGCGTTAGGATAGATAAAATTATACGTGATACCATCCGTGTAATACCGGTCCCGCAATGAAACAGCCGTAGATCGCGTATCGCTTAAGTTGCGCCCAATTGTAACTCCTTAATTGCGACGAGTCGTCGTTCAACAAACCCAATTTCTCGTCCAGCTTTTTGATCCAGAGGAACAGCGAGTTCTCGAGTTTCAACGAACTCGCATCCTCCTCGGCCTTTGCCGATATCGGCGGCAACGAAAACTATTAAACAAATTCAACAATAAACGATTCTTCTCCCAACGGCGAGTCTTCCTGTTGAACGTTACCTTATATATCCTGGTATAAGTTTGTTGAGCAAACTCGGCACCGGTATAAAACGAACCGTATATAATTGAATTGAAGAGCAACGGCCGCCTCTGCGCTGAACTTTTCAGCGTTTGTAATAATCTGGACATCGACATCCTCGCTACTGAGGAAATCTTCAGGATGTTTTATTTACTCCGCTCTTTTTATCTGAAACATTAGGTTGTTAACTTTTTTAAACTAGCTCAAAGCCCATTAGATGGAGAGACATCGATACACTCAATAATCCTTGGTGCACTCACCGTAAAGCGTGCTCATCATGTGACATGCGATTCATAATCGCTCAGCTTTTCTAGCAATTAATCTTTACGAAAGTGTAAACTAACGATCAGTCGGTGGTCGAATTAGAAGAGTGTATAAGCGAACCGGCAACAAGTGTTTATCTAAAAGAGGCGGGACAATGCAGCGAACGATGTTAAATAGTGTCGCAATGCGGTAATTTTCAGAGATAATAAAAATAGGAAAGGTTCTTACGCGATTAAAATTCGAACACTGAGTGAGACCGAGATCATGGAGGTACGAGGTGACAAAACGTAATCAGTGTTTGCTTTTATCTACCTTCGTTCAAATTTTGGTCAATCATTGTTTGTTCATTCTGCATAATATACCTGTGCCACTCACCTTCATTCTTGCTTGTTATCGCTGGGAACTTTTATTCGAACGTTAAGTAACCTGTGCACTGTTCGTTCATTTTATCATTTCCTTATTTTTATACGAATGACGTTATATGTTAACTTGGAAGTAAATAATTGGTAGAATTTAATACGGATTTGATTATTTGCTTACGTATTGTGATTCGAATAACGTATACACTCGCACCGGATCTCTTTATTTGTTCTTTAATTGACCGATAACGGTCGTATGATTATTCTAACGAGAGATTTTTATATGATAACGTAGCAGAAAGAATGCCTACCTATGTTCTCACACGTGTGTCTGCGGACAGTCGATTCCGTCAAGTCATTCACTGAATTGTTAAACGAAACATGTTAACAGATTCGAGGCAGTTGTTTGTTAAAGATATATGTAGACCGTGCACGTGAGATTGGTACTGACCACTTAGAATTAATCAAAACCAATCACGTCTCGGTTATATCAATTGTAAGCAACGAGGAGGAGAGTTAGTATACATTATAAAACGATATAACGTGCCAATTATAAACGTTTAATCATTCGGAATAGAGATACGTTACATGCAAAGTAATATTTCATTGATTATCACAAGTAGTTTCAAACATTGAAATATTCATTCAGCTTTTGATGTTCCACATTGTCTTATACATTACATATGCAGCATTCATATAATCCGTCATGCTCATTTCGTTTTCTTATAAATGCATAAGATCATAAGTTTCGTAATTAACTGCAGTTTGTGAATATAACCAGCCCTTCCATTCGAGGTCCACAACTTTTTCAAGAGTGATTTCTTGAAATACCTGACTTCGTTCTACCTATTTTACGATATAAATCACACTCGTTAGTATTATTTGTGCCACAGAAGCGATTGAGAAAAGTTACCTCGTGAAATCCTAATTTCTCAAACATTCGTATGCTCCTATCATTATCAAATTTGATCTTTGCTTTGAATTTACTTGTATGTAATTTGTCAATTCCTAAATTGGAGAACGTTACGTTTTATAAAGACGTAGAATATGACTTTAAGGACAGCACTTGAGTAAACGCGTACCGTGCAATAACATTAAGATTATTGCTTCCCAGCCTCTCCTTTTTCCTCTGTAAGCCACGTCCGCTATCATAATTTCAATCTCCGCAGTTTTTGGCTCGTCGGGTTCGTTGAAAAATAAATTTGTATCCCCGATCATTGCTTCTGAAATTCATTGACATGCAACGAAGGTATAGGTAATACCCGATGCTTTGTATTTGGGTATACCTATCTCATCCCCACTTTGATCGAAGACTACTTTGTCCAAAACGATGAAAGTGCATTCTAAAACAAAGTGTGCGAACCAAAAAAAATTGATGTTAACGTAAAATAAAATTGTGCTCACTGTCTTGATCCTGTTGCCATCGCTGTTGCATTCGGAACTCTTCTTCCAACGTTAGCATCTCCGAACCAGTAAAATACCTTAATTCCGCAGATTTCATCCATTCGTGATACCTAAAAATAAAGATCGTACGATATAAAGACAAGAGCAGGAGAAAGTGGAATAATTTGTGGAGCATTGTAAAGGATTCAAAAGTGGCGGAAACTGTTCCTGGCGCGGGCCGGGGTCGATAATCGATAACAGGTGAACGATACCAGCCTTTTAACATGTTTTTCCTTGTAAGGCACCAAAATCACGCTTTGCCCGACAATTTTAGTGTTCTCGTTGTCCCTCATTTTCGGAAATTGTCCGGCGTGGGAACATTGTCGAAGAAATGAATCGATTGAAAAGTTCTCGTCACGGGAGGTTACTTTTATCTTCCTGCCATATTGGATGCACCGTTCGGAATGATATAATCCGGAATTCGAAAAAGTAAACTCACTTTTGTTCGATTGCTTGCCGTTTGTAACTTGCCCGAGTATAATTGCAGAGTGATTAAACAATTGATAGAAGATGGCTTACAACTTCCCGGGTGTACCAGCGGCCGCTATGCCACCGATGGGTATGCTGATGCCTCATAACCATGCATTTTAAAAAGAATTTATTTATTTAATATCTTTTGTGTGAACTTGTGGTTTCAGGTATGGGACCAATGGGACCCCTTACCGCGATCGCAGGTCCGCAAAGTTTCATGGAGCTAGCGGGCCAAGGATTTCCACCCTTGCCACCACCTATACCACTGCCTGGAATGAATGACTCCCCTCTAGAATTTAGTACGAACAAAAATCAACCGCCAGTAGTTAGAGAAACTTCTGAAGACACCAATGATAAGAGGAGCGAGAAGAATGACGTCCGACGCGAAAGAGAGACTCGAGATTGCAGAGACAACAGAGACAATAGAAGGTTCTTCTTCCTTTCAAATTTGTGTAGAATTTGATTAGAGAATCGTGTTGACATTCTGATTGTGTTTACACAGATCTAGAAGTGACAGAAGAGAAAGGGACAGGGATAGAAGGGAAGAAAGGAACGATAGGGATAGAAGAGAAGAGAGGAGGCCTGACGATCGAAATAGCATTAATTCTACTGGTAGCAATAGCGGTCATAATAGTAATACTAATGGTAACGAAATCTCATCTTCGTCAAACGCTGGTAGCACACCGAATTTGGGGCAAATGGAACAAGCGACAGGAGTTTGGGGAATGGGAGTAGGATATCCGGTGATGGGCATGGGTCCAATGGGACCGATGGGACCAATGATGGGTGAGATGACTCTTGGTCCGCACATGGGACATACTCATAGTTACGGACCTATGGGTATGGGAATGATGTCGCACGACGGTAGTATGATAGGCGCACAAATATTAGGACCAGAACAAATAATGAATGATGCTGCCCAGATCATGAGCAGTGCCTTACCTCCGCCGCCAACCACGCCGCAAGGTACCAAGGAGATTATACATTGTAAAAGTTGTACACTGTTCCCACCGAATCCGAACGCTCCGCCTCCAACGACCAGGGAACGACCCCCGGGGTGCAGGACAATCTTTGTCGGAGGTACGTTTTTATTATAGAAATAATGATCGGGATCGATAGAGAAACGCGTTCGACATTTCTGCAGGCTTGCCGGAGAACATTACGGAAACGATAATTCAAGAGATATTCGAACGTTGCGGCGAGATAACCACGCTGCGGCTTTCTAAGAAAAATTTTTGCCATATACGTTTTGTACTAGAGAGTAGCGTCGACGCGGCTATTTATTTATCCGGCTATAGAGTTAGAATAGGATCTAGTGGTGATTCTGCAAACACTGGTAGACTTCACGTAGATTTCGCTCAGGTTCGTACGAAATTAATTTTCCCTGAGATACGTTTCTCTACTACGTTGTTACATTGAAAAATAGGCCAGAGACGATCAGTACGAGTGGGAATGCAGGCAACGTCAGCTGCAGCGAGAACAGCGACACAGAGAAAGAGTTGAGAAAGAAAGGCAAAGAGCACCGTCTAGTCCTCCACCGGTTGTCCATTACACGGATCACGAAGCATCGAATATTTGCGAGAAGATCAAACAAGACGACACGTTCATGAAAGCCGTGCAAGTGAGTAACAAGTTTGTGAAAAGAGCCTTCCTCAAGATTGAAACCGATTCAAATCGATTCCAGGTGGTCGTGACCTGGCTCGAGCGCGGAGACTGTACCAAACGCAACGCCAACACATTTTACTCGATGATCCAATCAACGAATTCTCACGTCCGGAGGTTGTTGACAGAAAAAGTCGCATACGAGGAAGAACTGCAGAAGGCCAAGGAACTGATGAAAGGGAGGATGCAGGGACTCTTAATACAATGTACGTGCATACAAACCATACACATGTATATATATTTTTTTTGTACAACATAGCTCTTCATGTACACAAGAGCAAATCCACATACATATTCCTTTGTCTGGTAAGTTTTTTTTTAATAAGGGTCATAGAGTTTGGTGCTCGATACGGCAAATTGAAAAATTTCGCACACAAAAATTGGATGAAATTTTTTCTACCGAGACTTGGATCGTCCAACTTTTTTTTTTCTCATCTTGAATCTTGTTCGAAAAATATTATTATTCTCGTCGACGTTCGGCATCAGGTGTATTGTAAAAAGAGTAAAGTGTATCGTGGGCAATGTACAATCGGGACGACTCGGTAGAAGGATCAAAGACAGTAGGAGGAAATAAGGTGGGTGAAGAAATCCTGGCTCTAGGCTCTGATGATCGAACGAAGGAGCACAGATTCACTACAAAGATTCATTTCATAGAAATATCTAGTGTACCTAAGAATTGCATGCTTGCAATGCTAAGGATTAAGGGTGACGGGCTAAATATTTGTTGCGGAATTATCATTGTGCTACGATTCTTCACACGGTTTGTCGATTCCGCGCATTCCGGTGTCACTTTATCATCAGGTACACGATCAGGTACGCTTGCCAACGATTTAAACGATTTTCTGTGACAAGTAAGAGACAAATCTGTAGAATCGTAGCAAAAGATCATCGTCTTAACGTTGGAAGCCTCTACATGTTGTAAGTTGTTAGGAGAATAGCGCACATTTTCGAATAGAAAATGAGCAATAAACCGATTGGCAGCGAAACCCTCGAAAAGGATCCTCGATCGACAGTGAAACCAGTTTTTGATTGAATATTACTTTTAAAGTCAGCTGAGAAACTTTCTGACACGGCTCCTAGCTCGTTGTACGTAAGATTTTCCGAGAGAAGACGGAGGACGGATGAAAAAAAGAAAAACATACGTGAAATTTTGGAGAGGAAAAGATCTAATGTAGGGACACGCATTGTGTCATTGAAATATGTTTAAAGTATATGTACATATATACACAGGTGATCTTTAAACTAGAGAGTTACATACGTATTAGATGAAAACGAATGTAGAGTTTAAAGCAGGGTATACAACAGAAGATTTGTTGTGTTTTTGTATGCAACATGCGACCATGTCACCAACAGTCAGTCAAATCGAACGCGTGTTTACTGCGGCCAGCCACAAGAAGGTCTGGGATCACTTCACAAAGGCTCAACGGAAGAACATCGAAATGTGGAAGAAACAATCCTCGGTATGTATTTGCATTCCCATGACAGTAGCTCGTGTCCAGTACGTTACGTTTGTTTTACGATTAGTCAACGGGTAATCATCGACAATCTCTCTTGCAAAGCCTCTTTATGCGAATGCACGATCGTCTATAAGCCGAGCAATACGCGTTTTCCAAACACTTTTTTCAAACGAAGGTAAGTAACAATATTAACGAGTACAGATAACTTTTATACATCCGGATCGTGTACTCTTTTTTACAAACGAATATACGGGAGTTACGGGACGTGAGGAAGGTAAAATAGTATTTTTTTTTTTGGCATTCGATTTGGACAGGTATCATTAACTGGAGCTTGAGCAGGTAACAATCGAAGAGAACAGAAATTGAACAAGTCCAAGTACGATTTTACTTTCACCTGTAAGATACGGTTGATCGTAAGCAAAAACATTGTTATATTTATTCATTCATTCATTCAAATGTTTCTATCGAATTTTCTTCAGGTGAGGTCTGGTCTCTCAAAGACAAATCTGGAAAAGTTTCATAGCGTTATTATTTCATACACGAAAGAAGAAAAATTTTAACGTTCTACCTGTAGCAATATTTAAAGAAAACAATACAAATGTGTACATACATATACGTATACATATACATAGATATATGTATATATATTGTATATATATGGCATGTTTCATTGATGTTGTCTTTGAACTAAATTTGCATGGGGACAAACTCGATGATGGTTTTTCGTTATCATAGGAGATTAAAGCGGTGCAACTGGAAGAATCTTTGATGGAAGGCGAAGGGGAAATGGAAGTTTCCGATTCTGAAGAGGAACCGCAAAGGAAGAAAGCGCGCAATCAGTCGGACTCTCACGAAGATACGGAAAGATTGCAAACTTTGAAAGAGGAGAACGACAGTCTCCGATGTCAGTTAGAGGCGTATAAAAACGAAGTATGCGGCTGTTGTTACAACAAACAGTTACAAGGAAAGGAAAATTATTCGAACGTAAACTTTTAGGTGGATCTGCTCAAGTCCGAGACGAAGAGCGAGATAGACGCGAAGGATAAGCAGATGAAGATGTTACAGCAGACCTTGAAGGGTATGCAGGAACAATTAATGCAATCTAGGAAACAGCAGGCGCAGGATGACCAGAAGATCAAAGATCTGACCGTGAAGTTGAACGCAACGAAGAAGGAAGAACCGCGAGAGAGCGAGGTAATAACGTTAGACAAGGACGACGACATCAACGACGAGCCCCGAACTCCGAAACAGTTGATCTCAACCTCTAGTTTCATACAAATTAGTCAAAAGGATGCTAAGCTGATAGGTAAATTAAATAAATTCTACATCCTTCTGACCGAACCTCATATTATATTCATCGTTCTTTCAAAATCGCAGGATTAATAGCGACGTTTTTACATATTCATCCGTTCGGTGCGAGCGTAGATTACCTCTGGTCTTATTTACAAAAAATGGAACCAGGTATCAAGCCCAACGAAGTGGAAGCTCTGATGCAACGATTCCCGCAAGTCTTCAAACAAGATTTATTCGGTATCGGCGCGAACATGGAAAGACGTTGGCAATTCTCAGGATTCAACGTTTATCGTAGTCACTGATCCGCCTGTACCGATAATTGAAATTCAATAGAGAAGCTAACGAAGAAACGGTTTTACAATATTATCGTATCACAGTGTCTCCTCATGTCATATACATTTTTATTGTGATACTTGTAATTCTTGTAGCCAGTCTTTACCTCATAATGTCATTATTAAACGGAACACTTGTAAATAAAATTGATTACGTTCAAAAGCTAATACTATACGGGAACGTGTTGAAATGAAACCCCCCACTACTGCTCCTTTTGTATCTCCCCCACTGTTTCAGTATTATATACATGTCATATCGTCATATCCACATCCACCAGTATTTAGCCATTTAGCGCGTTCAGCAGCGTTCAGTGAATGTGAAAGTGCCGTATAACCTGTTCTCTCAACACTTTTTCACGATTGCAACTCGATGAGCTTGACGAATTATTACGAGATACTTGGTTGCAGCAAGGAGTCGAGTGCCGAGGACATAAAGCGTGCCTACCGCGCGTTGGCATTGAAATTTCATCCGGACAAAAGTAGACCGGAGCAGGATGGTGTAAAATTTCAGCATGTTTTGGAGGCCTGGCAGGTTCTGAGCAACCCTAAACTAAGAGAAGAGTATGACGCTACGCAAACACAGGAGGAGTTAGATTCGGAGAGTGCCCCGATATACGCGAGGATATCGTGTAACGATCTGGAAACAATGGACAACGACGAGAACGTGTTGGCTTATCCTTGCAGATGCGGTGGACTGTACTGTGTTCAGAAAAAATATGTCGAAGCAAAGAATCAGCTGATACAAGTTCCATGCTTGGAGTGCACTTTTCTCATTGTCATCGAAACGTAACATTTCACTCTCTATAAATAATAAATGTATAACACGCAGGACTTAAAATGCAGCAACATTTTCTATTTCTTATCAAAAATGATACAACAGATAACACATCATTACAAATATAAACTATTGAGCAATATACAAATAAAAACACGATCCTTAGAATATCCTGGGTTCAATAATAAAAATTGCATTCACATCGTTTTGCGTTGGCAATAGAATTTGTAAGATTTATTGTCCATCGGAAAATAATAGTCTGCGTAGATTTTGTTTAACGACTTCTGCCATGAGGAATAGTTTTGTATAAAAAGAAAACTAATCGCTATAAAAAAAATCTACAACACCTTATTATTATAATGATTCTCGCATGATGACTGATGTTTTACAGTCCTCGATTGATACGTGCATATTGCAACTCTTATTATTGCACCGTAGCGAAACCAGGCATTTCTACTAATATAATCAAAATCAATATTATTTTATTCATCAAGTGTCGACCAGTAAATTCAAATGATTACCAATGGTCGTCGAATGCGTGTCGATAAACAAAAAATTGCGATTGATTCTGAACGTGTTACGCGCGAATCGATCAAATATTACATTACCGACGATCCATGCGATACATAATAAAATTAAGAGCTCACGCTCATAATATTGACAATTATAAATACTGATAAAGTATGCCCGTGCAACAAAATTTGATTTTGCACAAATAGTTTATACATTGTTATCGTCCAAAAACAGAGACATTGATCTTGATAAATTAGGATCAATATTCGCGTAGTGCGCTTATAAATTGATAGGTACAAATGAAATATAGTTTATCGAGCCTTTTCCTGTTGGAACCAACAGATTCGTTTCTGGTTACCGTAACACGTTCGTTAAAGAAAAATATCAACATGATATCTCTAACGTAATCCGACGTAACATCGACGTTGACAAAGTACTAGAAGTCGCTACCACTTCCATCGAGGCATCTGTCATGACAAAGAAAATGAAATTTAACCACGGATTCTACGATCGTATAATTTCGTACGAATAATTTTCTGTACGAACAGTTTAAATGATACAATACAAACTGACGTATAATCGAAACAAAACGAGACGAGTAAAGAACAGAAGCGTTCATGCCTCATTAAAAAATTCTTAAATATCGATTATATTATCCAATAAATTATGCACAATTCCCATAATAATTAATTTAACCAACGTAAGTGAAAAATTTAAATAAACCGTACCACACGGTACGGCGGAGAGAAAAACTTATTGTGTAAAGAACATTTATATCGGTATGCAGTTCTTTTGTTTTGTCAAATCTAAATTTGTTATTCGTTTCGATTGTTTGTTCAATTTTTCACCGTCCCCCTGGATCCTTCCTCATTTTCATCACTGAGATTCTTTAAGCAATATTTTCGTATGTATATGCTCTGAGAAATACGGTACGAAATCTTTCTTCTTCTCTGTAATTTAAAAATACTTTCCTAAGCGCCCGTACAAATAGTTATGTAATTGCAATGTTCATGGCGGGCAATCATCATCCGTTTTAAATTATTAGGACTTCGTGTCGAATTTGATAACAGCGGCGATACAGTGGTACACTGATAAGCTCCTCGTTCCACCCGTTAATTTGTTGAGTCTTTGAAATCTCGTATTTGTACACCACGATTACACTTTACGAATTATTACGAATACACTTCGTAATTAATATAACTAATGCCTTCAGTTTATAGGTTCTCTACCACTTCGGAGATCATTTGTAAACAGCTACCGATCCATCCTCGTCCTTGGATCTCCCCGTCGTATCTTTCCCATACATGCTTATCACAATCACACCACATGTAATACATGAACCATTGTACAATAGATTGGTTACGCTACCTAATCGGACTATGTACAGAATTCATTGAGGAGGGCAGTTTTGTCCACAGAAGAGTACACTATTTTACCTCTACATCAAAGTCGAGGACCAGCAGTTTGGTCTCCTCCGTGCCGTTGCGGCTACCCACCGCGCACACCAGCTTTGTATCACTCGCACGTATCCTCCACACAACACCACCACTTCCACCGCTCTCCAAGGCGACCAAGTTCCTTATAAAATCACCTGGACAAACAGCGAACGTTTTAACCTGTTGGCTTATTCGAGAAATTCGATTTCGCCTAAAGAGTGTAATACGATGTGACGTACCAGTTTTAACGTCCCACAGTTTGACCGTACCGTCGTCGGACGAAGTAATTACAAAATGACTGTTAAATTGAAGGCAAGTGACAGCAGACTGATGTTTATTTGGACCAGACAACGTTTGAAGGCAGTGACCGTTGACAATGTCCCATACTTTAACGGTTGAATCCGCGTTTCCAGATACCAAAATATTATTGCGTAACTCCATCCCCGAGGTGAGCGACTGGTGACCCATCAATGTATGTCTACATGCGCCGGTTTCAACCTCCCACACTCTTATACTCGTATCCAGGGAACCGCTAACAACATGTACACCGTCGAACTGAAGAAGAAACAGACGTTACTTACCCGTGTTCACGCGTGTGAAAGCTTACAGCGAAAAACCGATTCTTACTTGGAGGGAATAAACACGATTTGTATGTCCTTGTAAGGTATGAAGGCACTCCTCGCGTTCCGGATTCCAAACCTTAACCATGTAGTCGTAGGCGCCACTGACCACTAATTTCCCATCGTATTGCACACATCTAACAGCCGCCAAATGACCCACAAGCACGTGTAAGCACTCGCCGGTATCCACTTGCCACACCCTCAACGTAGCGTCTCTACTGCCACTGACTACTTTGTTACCGTGTAGATGCATACACCTCACCGTCGACGTGTGACCGTAAAGAGTGTGGATGCACTGGCCAGTCTCTGCGTTCCATACTTTCAAGGTACGATCGGTGCTACCGCTAATCACAGTGCTCCCAGACATTTGCGAAGACCATACACCACCGGTATGTCCGACCAACGTTCTCAAACACTGTGCAAACGCGTACGACAATGTAGAAAATGTAATATTGGCGTTATCGTATCCACGTTCAACTTACCTTTCCCGTAACGGCGGACCACACTTTGAGCGTGTTGTCGTCAGAACCGCTCACTATCCGATTCCCGGAGAACTGGAGGCACGTAATCACGTGATCGTCGTGTCCCTTGAGAACCTTCGGCGTACGGATCGGTTTCGTCCTCCAGTTCATTTTTATATTGTGCTGCCTCATGTACGCTTGTTTCCACGGGCACGACGAGTTAACAGCATTCCTACAACTCTTCTTTTTCGACGGAGACAACTCTTTTAAGTCTTCTATCCCGGCTGCTCTGCACTTCTCCTTCCACAACAGATTGTCGTCGGCGAGAAATCGCCAGTTACGGCAGGTTTGCGCGGCCCTCAAGAGATCCCTTGGTTCTAGAAAAGCTAACACGGCCAGGGCCAACTCTTTTGGCAACAACGATATAAAGTCCCTCTGAAACTGAGGCTCGATCACTTGCATCATATGCCGCACTTGCGTCGGCTCACACCTCTCGATCAATTCGTCTATCGCTAGCATTCTTTCCGCGTTCGACCATCTCTACAGTTAAGAGCAGTATCTTTAGTATAAAAATAAACGACGGTTTAACTTTTCTTTTTATCAAACGATTCTACCTGAAACTGAAGGAGCCAATTACTCATTTCTGGCGGAGGATTATCTTTCGTTGGAATCACGCATCGTGTATGTTTAGCCTTGTCATCCAATTTCTTAACGATCCTGCAAAGGAGAAAAACGTTTGAGAACACGTTCTCGAACGAACACGCTCTCGAACGAACACGCTCTCGAACGAACACGTTCTGGATGATCATCCTTGAATTCTATCACTTACATCGAATAGGATTTATCTTCAGGATTAGGCTTTTTACACGGTAAACTCGATTCGGTTTCGCTTTTACGTTTTCTCTGAGGTTGAACGGCATCCAACGGCACGCAGGTATGCAAAATGGGACTGGGCACCCGTGGGGTAAGAGGCTGTGGCTGCGATGTGGACAACGAACAATTATTACTTTCAATCTCGGGTTCACATTCTGCATCGCAAAATATTCCCGTGTCACTAAACTGAAATGCAACCGATTGCAATGACGCGGACATTTCTCTAAAACAAACCGTATCGAATAATACTCACCTCCTCGCTCTCCTCGCCGCTGGTGTCATCCTCTTCCTCCTCCTCCTCCTCCTCCTCCTCCTCCTCGCCATCTTCACCGTAATCTTCTGATTCTTCATCTCGTGTTAAAAGAGAATGCATAGGTTCTAAAGAACTAGGTCCTGGAACACCTTCTATGCCCTCGACAGGACTTGGACTTGTACCACCTGGTTTATTATCATTCACTTTAGAGGACGAGGAAGGGACAGACATCACTGGCTTATGTCTGATTGTATTACCTGAAATAAAGAAATTGTCTAATCCCTAATTCGGTCTAATAAGGTTTAAAAGTTGTACACAGAGATTAACGTTGAATTAATCCATATTTCCATGATTCTATGTATCAAACCATTTCTTTATTATCCTATAATAAATTGTTACTACGAACTGGCTAAAGAAGCTTGTCATTTTACTTATATAATTCACTTGAAATGCACATTTTACCAATTCTCTGGTAGAAATAAACGTGGAGACTGATAAAGAAGCTCGAAAAATAATTAGAAAAAGAGAAATAATCGCAAGCGAGACAGGCGAGAACGAGAGTTGGTGTAACACTTATCTTTTCGTATAAGATATCAGAACAATGGTATAATGAAAGTGTCGTTAAAAACGTATTAGTATTAATTACATTCACGACGAGCAAGTTAATCGTCGAAAAGTATGCAAAAATCCTAACCTTAGACGGATCCTAAAACCAAGTTAGATTCGGAACATAGCCTAGAATAATAAAAGGAAGGACCGGTTAGCCACACCCTTAATTTTCATCGGATTATCGCGAGAAATAAATAATAGAAATGGGGAGCTAATTATAAACGAGCGGTTCATACTTAGATCGAATGTTTTTCCTCGTCGGACTCCTTATTGTAAAACTACTGTACAACGGTGATCCAAGTTTCTTTCGATTAATGTTTCTATCATATGGTCACGGTATGCATTTTTCGTGTGTCAGTATTTTGTTAGGTTAGAAGGCGACAACGTTAACTTTTCGATTGAAAATTTAGGCCAGCGCGGGTGTTGAAACAAAAATAAGAAACGGGTATAAACACAGAAAAAGATCCATCGGTAACTCTCGGTAGGCCCGAGGTTTTTATCTCTCCGGAGTAGACTCGGTGCTTCGTAGACAGGTAGTAGCTGTTGCACATGCGTTTACGTTTATAAGCCGCATATCCATTGTTCGTCTCACATCGTCGTTGCCATTCCATCCGTTGGTTATACTTACACTTACAATAGTTACAATAAACTAATAGGTATATCAAACATGATTTACGATATTCTTTTCGTTTACACAAGAATCGTGACAGAGTGACCTATAACAATAAACTCTCATCTTAATCTTGTACTTAATTCGCTCGACGAGCTCAATCAATCAATTTTATGCTCGATAGGACATAGAAACCAAATGTTTATCAGTCTCGCAGAAATTAATCCTATCTATTGTTGTGTATGTGCAAACGAGAATTCACAGATATTTATAATAATTTGCACGATATTACGTGATTCTGCGTTTACTAAGTAAAATTCGTACATACGATGGCTTAAGGTTTGAGGTGTCGATGGTACTTTTTTTTATCCATTATTTTAATTCTTATATATATTCTCCACTGCGACTGATTCGAAAAGAATATTCTGTGTACGGGACATTACGCATTATCGAGAACGCGACTGGTTTTACTGTATTCTATACTTGTTCCTTTGAAAATATTAGGAATGTGTTTGTGAGGTATGTGATATGTCAAGCGGTGACGTTGATGAGCCACCGAATTTTAAAGGTTATCAAACACGGTAGAATAGCTGCAGTTTTATCTTTAAATAATTGAGACCGACCGAAAGAGAATGCGTGATTGACGCGTCGGATCGTCGTCTCAAACGCTGTTTCGTTTTACTTTTCCAAACGCGATATCGCATGGTCACGGTTAAAACTAATCAGTATTTGACATTCGTAGAACAAAACAAAGGTTAGCTGAAATTTAAGCTGATACAATGGCTCTGGGTACGATATTGCAGGTGAGTTATTAACACAGATTATTTTCACTGACTAGCCATCGCGGGTTATCACTTTGCTTGATATTCCACAGAAAGCTATAGATCTAGTTACCAAAGCTACAGAAGAAGACCGCAATAAAAATTATGAAGAGGCACTTAGGTTGTATGAACATGCCGTCGAATATTTCCTGCATTCTATTAAATGTATGCCCCCAACATATTTTTGCTTCTGATAATTCGTTGACAAGAGTCAGTGGTATAAATAGCATCGGTATCTTTATTCTTTCAGATGAAGCACAAGGAGACAGGGCCAAGGAAAGTATAAGAGCAAAATGTACACAGTATCTAGAAAGAGCTGAGAAGCTGAAAGCATATTTGAAAAAGGGCAAGAAGAAACCGGTGAAAGCGGGTGAAGATAACTCCAAAACAGAAGATAAGAAAAGCGATAGCGGTGACAGTGACACAGATAGTGATCCTGAGAAGAAGAAACTTCAAAGTAAGCTAGAAGGTGCAATAATTATCGAGAAACCGGATGTAAAGTGGAGTGACGTTGCTGGTTTGGATGGAGCCAAAGAAGCACTGAAGGAAGCTGTTATATTACCAATACGTTTTCCCCATCTGTTTACCGGAAAACGGATACCATGGAAGGGTATCTTACTGTTTGGGGTAATTTTCTAAACAAAGTACTTGAACAATCTTACACATAAGTATTTTATAAGTAATTTCAAGATATTTCTAGCCACCAGGTACTGGTAAATCCTATTTAGCGAAAGCTGTCGCGACAGAAGCCAATAACTCGACTTTCTTTTCCGTCTCTTCTTCGGATTTGGTGAGCAAATGGCTCGGCGAATCCGAGAAACTTGTAAAAAATTTATTCGAACTCGCTCGTCAACACAAGCCTAGCATTATATTTATCGATGAGGTCGATTCATTATGTTCGCAACGTTCCGATAACGAGTCCGAATCCGCGAGAAGGATAAAAACGGAGTTTCTAGTTCAGATGCAAGGTACATGATACATCATCTTTCATCATTCTTTCGGCGTACGGATCGGGTCCGTCCATAACATACGAATCTTTCAAAGTTACATAAACAAACCACCAATGTGTTACAATACACTGATTTCTTAGGTGTGGGATCGGATAATGACGGAATACTGGTACTGGGCGCCACTAATATACCCTGGGTACTGGACTCTGCTATTAGAAGAAGATTCGAAAAGAGAATTTACATTCCTTTACCCGATGAGCAAGCTCGAGCTATAATGTTCAAACTTCATCTAGGAAACACTTCTCACTGTTTAACAGAAGAAGACTTTAAGAAATTAGCAGCTGCCACTGATGGATATTCCGGCGCTGATATAAGTATTATCGTACGAGATTCGCTCATGCAACCAGTTAGACAAGTTCAGACCGCAACGCATTTTAAACGTGTAAGGGGACCGTCACCGAAGGATCATTCCGTCATCGTCGATGATTTACTGACGCCATGCTCGCCGGGAGATCCCGCAGCCATTGAAATGAATTGGATGGAAGTCGACGGTGATAAACTTTATGAACCACCAGTCACTATGGCAAGTATTCTGATCATTTTTTCTTTCAAAGCGATTTCAACTATTCTGATCGATGAGATTTTTTTAACATGCAGAAAGACATGATGAAATCGTTGGCGACTACCCGTCCCACAGTGAACGAGGAAGACATGGCGAAATTGGAGAAATTCAAGGAGGATTTCGGTCAAGAAGGTTGATGCCCAAGTTTGTTAACGAAATTGCTGTACACTTCGGGTGTAACTTTCAATTATACACGCACTTGCCTTACGTCTTGTTTGATTACCAATATTGCTATACATAGTATTTGTACAAAAACACCATGTCAGATTTTGATTTCCAATGTTTTCTATTTTCTTTTTCCTTCGACGATCATTGCCCGATAACGTCGCAAGCTTGAGCTTACCAGAAAGCACCGTTTTTCGAAGCTAACATCAAATCGACAGAATTAGCGATATATACATACATATATATTTTGAGATAAAGATTTGTTAGAGTTTTAGTCAGCGAAGAAAAAAACAATAGACTGTTTCTTATTCAGACATGTGTACGGATAAAAATTGATGAGCCGCGCGGTCTATGAAGTATAGCGTTTTAACTTATATAAATATCGCTATAAGTTTTTCTTGTACCTAACAAATTAATTGTACATTACGTAGGTTTAATAAGTACTTCTGATTAATGTTTATGATAAACGATTAGCAATTTATTTGTATGTTTTATATAATTTCGATTTTTGTTTAACGACATCTATTTACTGCGAATAACCGATTTCAAATTGTACGTAATTGCGATTACATGTAGTATATGATATGTGTGTACGTATTTCAAATAAGCAGACTACCCTTTCCATGTAAATTGTTTTTATTGTTAATTAAATAAATAACAAGCTGTACAAGATCCAACACAAGCTTCTTCAAATAAAGCTTAGAAACGATGACAATCGTAAAAAATGTGTCTTAAAAATGTAACAGGAAATTTATCTATGGAGGGCAGTGCCTTAAGAATTCCGAATCCATGTAGACGACCGTCACAGTGATATCGTCACGAAAGATTCTTACCACCTCTTTCGGCAGCGTTAGCAATTGCGACAATTTTACATGATCCGTACCGTACTCCGTACCGCCTAGCGCATTTCTCAACAAATGAGTCGCCGCGTTACTGTCCAGCGGCTTCCGTTTCAAGCCTTCTTTCCGTTGCAACAACATTTTATTAATCTCAGACAATTTCATGTTCTTCCGAGGCAGCCTCAACGGATTTAATGTCACCTTCCCGCTCATATGTTCGCCCACCAGCCGGACAGCTTGCAAAGGTGTCATTAAATCCCACAAGCCGTCGCTAGCTATGATAAGGAACTTGTCTCTGGGTGTCAGCCTGTGGTATTTCACTTCCGGCTTTGCCGTTAAATACGGGGGAGTGTGATAGTGCGGGGGGATCGCAGCCTCGCCGAAATACGGCACTACCACCTCCCTCAGTATATCTTTGCTCCATTTGTACCGGAAATCACCTAAGGAACGTAGGGGAGCTAATTGACCGAGTAGCCTTTCCATTTTAATCACAGTCGATTTCTCATTAGCAGGATGTTCCGAAAAGATTCTTTCGACTTCCGCGCGATTGTCCGTGTTGTGTTCAACGGTCATCGATTTCGCGGTCCAACCTTCGTCCTCTGAAATTTGAAGAACGACGATGATTATGATCGTCGACGAGAATTATATGCTTCGGATAATTGTGATTATGCACCGGAAAGGACGCCGAGTACCGCTTGGCAATCACCAACTCCGGCGACGTGCAAATGTGGACCATCGATGTGTGCGACAGCCGCAACGGCGCCAGACATTGCGACAGCGAGGGTCCTAGCGGTACTGGTCTTACCTAAATTTAAAAGTGCTTCGTTCGACAAATCGTTATCTAATCTGAGAAACGCGTTCTCTAAAGCTCTTTCCATTTGAAACTCTTTTTTACACTCCGTTTCTATCAATTCTTTGACAAAGCTCAAGAAACTCGCTTGGTAAAGATCTTTAATCTCGGAGACGAACTCCACTTTGTTATTGAATATCTGAAGGAATTCGATTTTATTGTCCGAATTGATCGTGCTTAAATATTGTTTTAGCAATTTTGCGGGCAACAAACATGCTGAGATATAATGGAAAAGTCTCTTAGAAACGATTTGTGCGCAAGTACCACCTCCGTGACCATCGAACACACCTAACAATATCCCTAAAATAAACATGTTCTTCTGTTGTAAAAGAAACGAAATCGGATCGACATGCCTCTGACACTGACAGACAGACAGACAGAGAGAGAGAGAGAGAGAGAGAGAGAGAGAGAGAGAGAGAGAGGCAGTAAAAGACTGTCTCGTTCCATAGTGAGTTTTATATCGTTCTACCTTTTGTAAACAAACATTGGGCCTCGCATCGAGTGTCTTCTATAGGACTATTAGATGCTAACTGATTCGAATCGTAATATTTCACAGAGCTTTGACCATCGAATTCTTTGGTATATTCGTTAGCTTGTAAGATCGATGTGACCTGTAGCACGGTCTCATTAATTAAATCCACACCACAGCGTATGACAATATTTAATTACCTCCAGCGGCGTGAGTCGCGGCAATGCCGTGTACAGTCTTTTAATAGGTTTCCTGATGCTCCATTCATTCTTCTTAATGTATACATTTCCGACAGTCTTAATCAAGCTGTTACCAACGTTTCGCAAGACCATCCTATTTGCACTGTTTTTCTGCTAGCACGTTTCAGTGCTCACGCCGTTACGATACATGGTTGCAGATTAGGTTAGCAACCTATCATTGTCAAAATCTTATTCTCAACGATGATCTTTTCACACTTTTTTTGTACATACATACATACATGCAGCATACATTGCGTATGTCATATGGCGGCAGTTATAAGTTAGATCGCGTTAGGGTACCGTTTTCACTGTAAACGAGATAATTCCCTATGATATCACTATATCTAAAAGACGCGTAATGTTGCCAGAACTTTGCTTGGAAGACAGTCCATAGGGGGCAGAGATTTAAATTTCAAAATTTGCTTGATCCCCAACGGTCGGTGATGCTTGTCGCGTTCGCGTCTAGAATCTGCTATGGTGTTCAACAAGCGGGATTTAGCGAAAGCATTTTCGCCGAACAAAGTGAAACAGTTTACGAAGAAACGATTTTCGAACAATGGAGGGAAACCGAGCACGAGCGGAGGAATATCAACGGTGCAAACAAACGAGACCAGTTCGCAGACGAGTATCAAGGTAATCGTAAGGGTACGACCGCAAAACGATAATGAACAACAGGGCAACTGTAGAACGGTCGTAAAAGTCGTCGACGATAAGATGTTGATATTCGATCCGAAGGAAGAGGACAACCCGTTCTTTTATCACGGCGTCGCCCAGAAGAGCCGTGATTTGCTTAAGAAACAAAACAAAGAACTCCAGTTTATTTTCGATAGAATTTTTGACAAGTCGTCGAACAATTGCGACGTGTTCGAGGGTAGCACAAGAGATTTGATCAACAGCCTTTTAGACGGTTATAACTGCTCTGTATTCGCGTATGGAGCTACAGGCGCTGGGAAGACTCACACTATGCTTGGCAGCAGTGAAGATCCTGGTATCACGTACAGAACGGTGGCAGAGCTGTTTACCCAAATCGAGAACCAAAGCGAACATCGCGAATTTAATTTGGGGGTAACGTACCTTGAAATTTACAATGAGAACGTGCAAGATTTGTTACACAAGTCTGGGCCCTTGCACTTGAGAGACGATGGCAGGTGTGGAGTAATCGTTGCAGGTCTTAAAGTGATCACTATTCAAAATGCAGAGGATCTATTAACCCTCTTATCAAAGGGTAACAAGAATCGTACCCAGCATCCGACTGATGCCAATGCAGAAAGTAGCAGAAGTCACGCAGTCTTCCAAGTTTATATTAATATCACTAATAAGTTGGATGGTCAAGTACGACAAGTGAAGCTGTCTATGATCGATTTGGCTGGCTCTGAAAGAGCTTCTGCCACAGGCTGCAAGGGGCCGAGGTTCAAGGAGGGTGCGAACATAAACAAATCCTTGTTAGCTCTGGGCAATTGCATCAACAATTTGGCAGACGGTGCTAAGCATGTGACTTACAGGGATTCTAAATTAACGCGTCTTCTGAAAGATTCTTTAGGTGGAAATTGTCAGACAGTCATGATAGCCAATGTGGCTCCTTCCAGTTTTAGTTACGAGGACACTTATAACACACTGAGGTACGCCAACAGAGCAAAGAAGATTAAGACTCACGTGAAAAAGAATATTATATCTTGCGAGATGCATGTAACTGCTTATATAAAAATGGTCGACGAACAGAAGAAGGAAATTAATTATTTGAAACAAAAATTATTGGCACTTGAGAATGGATCGACAAATATTTTAACCGAAACGAAGAACACGGGGATTAACGAAGAGTTGGATGAACAAGCCATGGCTATCAGTAATAAATTGATCGATTTGCTAGAAAAGAAGAAGAGTCTGAACAAAAAGGTTCTCTCGCTGGAGAGCGCCGATAAAATATTGTGCTGTAGAATTCAATATAAGAAAGCAGCAGACGAGAGGCTACACAATTTAACAACGGTGGTCGACGGTTTGACGCCTGAGCAACAAAATGCAAGTGGAAAATCAAGAGTTAACAAATCGTTAAATTATTTCGAACGGCAAAGAGATTCTTTAAAGGTACAAATGGAAGCGGCATGGGATGAACTATGTTCGATAGAAACGGAAATAAAAAAATTGAACGCACAAGTGGAATTGAAGAAGCTTGACAAATTACAGAGTATGATCGCGTTAAAGACTTGCGAGATAGAGAATTGCAGAATGCAGCAGCAATACGAGCACACGAAGAAAATTAGCAATCTCCAACAATGCGAGATGCAGTCGCTTTATTCGATGGTGAAAATGATGAGTACTACGTTGCAACATTATTACAACATGATGAAAGGCTACGGCACACTGACGGACCCCATGAGAGAAGAATTTAAACAGCTGGTCAAATTGTTGGAAGGCGTGAGAAACATTAAATGGTCGGACATGGAAATAGTAAACCATGGCGAGCGTTTTTATAGTTTGACATGCCTCAGCGTGGACAATGTAATGGATCCGTTAGACAGCGAGATGCCTATATATGTATTAAATCCTTCCGAAGATCAGAATCAAGATGATTGCGCTAAAGATGTATTGAATGCGACTTTCAATGCGTCCTGCCCAGAGACAGGCAAATCGTCTGAATTTCACGAAACGACTATCACATTGCACGAGGATGCAAGTGTGAATACGACTGACGATATAGAAATAACGAAAAAGAGTAGAGAAGAGAATAAAAACACGGTAGAAAGGCACGGTAGTGTGCGTGTACCAGAAAAGGCTAAGAAACGTGTTCTTTCTGATAAGAACAACGTAAATGTAACTAAAACTCCTACTAAACAAGTAAGGAAGATATCCCCAAAGCATAAAGATTACACGCTGTCCGCAGTAGGAATAAAAGGTAAAGAAAATAAACAGCAAGCACCGAGGCATCAGGTAGTGATGAGTGCGAAAAGTATAGCTATATTGAATAAGTTGAAAGCGGATAAACCGAGGAAGGGAAGCCCTAGTAGTCCTAATACATCCGACGGAGGACTGAAAGTGATGAGAGAAAAAGAAAGGAGAGGATTGATGTCGACGCATCCATACCAAAAGCCAGATGGCAAAAAGTAAGTATGCAGAAATGTTAATGTTATCTCGTTGATTAACGCAAAACCCAGATAACAATGATTATTATATCGTTGCAGATATGCAGCGGTTCAACCTTCATCGCGGACACCGTGGTAGAGAATAGTTTAAGCAACGTAGTTAAGGAAACGTGTAATTATATATGTATACGTTCGGAGTCAGTAAGAAGATTACAGAGAACTGACTGGACATTTTTATTTCTTACATTTAAATATAATGACAGAGTCTAGTATGAAACAATGTTAATGTATTTGTACAAAAATAATGTTATGATGAGGAAAAGAGTGAACGTACAAATTTTACTTAAGCGATGTAGGAATACGAATGTACCTTTTAATATACTTTTTAAAGGGGTTTATTTGTCATATTGGCATTTATTTGATGTTCTGTACTGCTGTGCAATAATCAGTAACATAAACGAAATTCTCGAAACGAACTATTTATAACGATTTTTATACTACTTGTATTTATTGGTAACTTACAATTACGTTATCTTCTCGTCTGTCTCACGTTCGATAACTTCCCGTTACGGCTTCTTTCCTATTTACGGCATATTTTACAGAATCGTCAAATAAACATGCGTACATTATGATATATATTTTTTTATAAGATCTAACTATTTACATGTTTGTCCAGTGCGTCAAGTATTTCTGTTAACGTTTTAAGCTCCGTAAATTGACGCGACATAACGGGTCTGATAGATCTTGAACGATCGAATAACGACACCAATGATTGGAATAGAAACGCTAGAAAAGCTAGAGATGCCATAATACTCAAAGGATCAAATCCTGAACTGAAAGATAAGATCAAATATGGTTATCAATAACATACTTCAAGCAATTCTAACATTACTTACGAATAATACGGAGTAACAGCAGTTCCTCTGTACCCGTCGTAATAATTCCGAGTTTCAACCTCGGTGGACGCTTGACAACATTCCGTCTATTAAAGACGCGAGCTATGAGAAATTAGTTTATGCTCGAAATTTTAATATACTTACCGTCCTAGGGAGGACCGGATAAGCTTCACGAACTTCTAAACTATTTTCTGCGTAAGTTCGACGTACGATAATATTGACTAATCCAATTAGTGTACAAGTTTTCAACATTCTTCCAGATTAACGTGTCAATTCATTCGCGTAAGGAAAAAGTCAGTCTTCGTATTTCTTTACCTCGCCAACGTTCTTATAACATTTTACATGCTCTCATTACCTTTTTGCTCTACTTGTTTCAAGTTACGAAATCGTCAACTATTTCTTTAATCTTCCGGAATAAAGTGTGCATGAAATTGAGCGTATAATTATGAGCATGCATGTTCGTGCATAAGAAATGCGTAATTTTAATATTATACAATAA